GTGTGTGTGTGTGTGTGTGTGTGTGTGTGTGTGTGTGTGTGTGTGTGTGTGTGTGTGTGTGTGTGTGTGTGTGTGTGTGTGTGTGCATGAATGAATGCAATATTTCCGATGAGAACGCGTCGGGAGGCAACTATCCCACCAGCACACCAACACAAACACTCACTCAGTCACACATGTACACAAACTCTCACTTACTCCGTCACCCACCTCGTTTGTGTTGCTGCCCGAGGCGATGTACCGCCCATCCGGGGACAGAGATGTCGTCCATGTGTTGACTGGTTGCAATGTTCAGCAAGGGAGGGGCGCATTGGTCCACCATAAGCGCAGTGGCACGCACACACACGCACACAGACAGGCGCGCGCTCTCACACACACGCGCGCGCGCGCGCATACGCACACACAAACACGCACAAACACGCATACACACCTGACGCGGTGTCGATTGACTTGAGAAGCTTGCCGCCGTTGAGATCCCAGACGTTGATGACGCTGTCGATGGAGCTGGACACCGCCGTCTCGCCCTTGCCGTCAATATCCACGGACAGCACGCCCAGGTTGTGTCCTTCGAAGCGGTGCCTCAACTCCAACTGCGTGTGATCCCTGTGATGTGCATGATCAACATTGGGCCATTTGCAGTCGTCATTTGAGAAACAAGTATTCCCATCAGCTACTACAAAACGTCGCAGTTCCATAGCCCTCCATTGAATGCACATGCCGCAGTGAGTGAAACAGGCGTGCAAAACCAGCGTGCGGGCGCCACACACACACACACACACACACACACACACACACACACACACACACACACACACACACACACACACAGAGGCAACACAACACAACACACACGCAACACACACGCAACACAACACAACACACACGCAACACACACGCAACACACACGCAACACAACACAACACACACGCAACACAACACAACACACAACGCACCATCTCCAAACTTTGACGGTGTCATCCACGGAGCCTGAGAGGATGGTGTTTGACCCGTCCTTGGACCATGCGATGGTCCAGATCCCATCATCGTGGGCTGTGTGCAGATCAGCAAGGCGGCGTGCATGTGTTTGGAGTGATGAGCAGCCACTGAACATTCAGCACAGCACCCAAAGACAAAGGGCAACATGACATATGGCAGGTGGCAGGGCTCTCCACCCAGCACCACACACTAACGCCACCACTGGCCGACTAGCTGAACGAACGAACCTTGCGAGTGGTTGCCAATGATTTTGAACTAACAACAACATGGGAGCAAGTTGCAGGTGAGCAGAAGTGAGTGGGTGCGTGAGTGCGTGGGTGCGTGCGTGTGTATGAGTGTATGTGTGTGTTTGTGATTGTGAGGGGGGCTTGTGTGCGCGCGCTGTGAGCTCCACCACACACACACACACACACACACACACACACACACACACACACAACATACATACACACACACACACACACACACACACACACCACACACACACACACACACACACACACAAAAGCAAGCCACCGTTGTTCTGGCCGTCCTCACCATCTTCCGCGGTGGTGTGACAATTTGTTGGTGTAATGGCCAATTATCGAATCTTCTGCCAAACCCCAAGGAAGGAGGATGGCAGGTGAGTTTGGGAGACGATGAGTTGTGGTTGGTGTTGTGGTTGGTGAGTGTGAGCGAGGATGGATGCAGGATCGCAGCCTCCCTGTGCATGGAAGGCACGGAACGTGAGGGGATATGCCAATACACCCCCACCCGTGCACGTGGCAGTCGTGCACTTGGGCTGATGTCTGTGTGCGTGTGCGTGTGATCCACCGAGCGAGCAAGGACCGTTGCCAGAGACACGTCAAAGGAGGGGGGCGTGGCTGTGCATGTGCCGGCCGGAGTGTGTGTGGATGGGAGTCTGGAAGGGAAAGAGACGGGCGGCGCTTTGGTGGGCAGGGCGGAGATCGGAGCGTTCTTTCCCACTGCTGCATAGACACCAATGAAGGCCAAACAGTGTGCTTTCGGAGATCGAGCCCCTCCACTGCTCACACGCACACTCACGCACACACGCACACACAACACACACACACACACACACACAAACTTCGCTCAACTCACACACAACACATACCTCATGACCACTACACTCGTGGTGCACGTTCTCTTGCTCACCGTTTGCTTTGCCTGTGATGATTGCCTGTGTTCTTGGTGTTGCTGCTGTTGTCAGACCTTGTCGAGGAGCGTCGGCTCCTATGGGCCAACGATCCGGAGAAGAATGAAGAGCGATGCAAACACTTCCGTGCAGACTATGTGCGTTGTGTGTGCATGGCATGGCATGGCATGGCAGATGTGCATGTGCACGCGCTCTCACGTGCTTGCATGCGAGCCAAGAGGTTCTTGATGATGGCAGCATCAGCTGACCTGCTGTGCAAAGTTCCTCACTCCCTCCCTCACCATGTGTTTGTGTCATGCCTTGTCCTGGCTTGCCTGTCTTGTCCTCTGCTCGTATTTGTGCATACAGGGCAACCGGATCAAGACGGCCAAGTACACGCTGCTGACGTTCCTGCCCGTGAACCTGTTTGAGCAGTTCATGCGCGTGGCCAACGCCTATTTCCTGTTGCAGCTCATCCTGCAGCTGATCCCGCAGATTAGTTCCCTCAGCCCCATCACCACGGCGCTGCCGCTCGTGTTTGTGCTCGGCGTCACCGCTGTCAAGGACGGCAACGACGACTACAAGCGCCACAAGAGCGATGCCACCATCAACAACCGCGCCATCGACGTTCTTCGCAACAGCAAGTCAGTTGGGGAGAGACAAGGGTGTCAATGTACAGGGCGGCTGTCGTTTTGTTTTGTGTGTCTGTTCCTCGTGTGTGCGTGCGTGCGTGTGTGTCTGTGTGTGTATCTGTCTGTTTGTCTGTCTGTCTGTTCGTCCGTCTGTCTTTTCCCTCTTTGTTTTCCCTCTGTGTGCCTTGTCTGTCTGCTCGTCTCTCTCTCTCTCTCTGTCTCTCTCTCTGTCTCTCTCTCTCTCTGTCTCTGTCTCTCTCTCTGTCTGTCTGCCTTTGTCTCTCTCTGTCTGTCTCTCTCTCTCAAGCTCTTTCTCTCTGTGTGTCTCTGCCTGTCTGCCTGTCTTTTTGTGTGCTTGGGCTCACGTATCACAATGTGCCGATGACAGGTGGGTGGAGTCACAGTGGCAGGATGTGCATGTGGGAGAAATCATTCGCCTCAGAAAAGACGACTTTGTCCCGGTGCGTGTGATCAACGTGATGATGACCATGATGTTGATGCGTGGTGACCGCTGCTGTGGCCTGTCTGCGCGTGACTTTTCGTGTCTGGTGTCAAAGACTTACATGCTTCACGCCATCGCACGACAACTTACACACATGCACACACACGCACACACACACACATACGCGCACACATACACACACGCACCTCCCTATATTGCTTACCCACCACCCACCACCACCCACCACCACCCATCACCGCGGACCAGGCTGATCTTGTTGTGCTGTCGACAACGGAGGCCGACCACGACTGTTACATCGAGACGGCAGACCTTGATGGCGAGACAAACCTCAAGAAACGCTACGCCTCAGAGCCCACGCGCGAATTCTCTTCCGCACAGCAGCTCTCTGCCATGACATGTACGCACCCGCTGTAGCTGTGTGCGTGTGAGTGAGTGAGTGAGAGTGTGTGAGTGTGTGTGTGTGTATGTGTGTGTGTGCGTGACTGTGTCTGTGCGTGCCTGTGCGTGTCCGTGCGTTTGTCGATGTTGCTACTCTTCTGTCTGCTTAATTCGGTGCATGTACGGTGTCGATTGGTCGTCGAACGTGCGTTGTATCCCCTGATTCTGATTCAACGATGCAAACACACCCCGTTTCCGAGGGCCTGATCATGCCTCCGCTTCTCTTGACCTTGTGTTGTTCCCCTTGTGTTACCCCGTCATGCCCCTGTCATTCCCCTGTTCTGTCTCCCCCCCCCACCCTCTCCTCCGCGTGACCACAGGCGAGGTGTCATGCAACCCGCCGAACAACAGGCTCGACGACTTTGATGGCTCCATCTCCGTTAACGGCGAGAAACCGCTCCCCATCAGCAACAACAACGTCATCCTCAGGGTGCGACAACACATACATCGCGCGCACACACACACACATACACACATGCACACATGCACACATACACATGCACACACACGCATGCACACATGCACACATACACGTTCTCTCCCTCGCGCGCTTTTCTTCACTTGGTCCTGTTGAGTTGTTGTTGTGTATTGTGTTTGTCGCGCACTCGCCTCACGTCTCACACTTTTCATCTTGTCCACCTGTGCCTTGTGCTCCTATTCCATTGTGTATATGCGCGCGCGTGTGCATGTGTTCAGGGCTGTCGCCTTCGCAACACGAATGAGATTCGTGGCGTCGTCGTGTACACTGGCAACGACACCAAGCTCATGCGCAACAGCGGTGAGTAATACCAACATGTCTTGGTGAACCGCTTGCCCCGATGCGCGCCCCTTTGCTTGCAAGCACCCTTGGGTCCTGCACACCGTCTTCCATACGCACACGCTTGTGTGCAACTGTCCCTGTGTCTGTCCGCACAGTGCCTCACTATTCATGCACATGCACACATGGACATGCACACTCATACACACACAAACACATGTACACGCACCCACTCTCATACGCACTATTCAGGCCGTGTTCGGTTTAAGCGCACGCACATTGACAAGCAGCTGAACAACCTTGTGATCCAGATTTTCTTTGTTTTGTTTGCCATGTGCGTCACCCTCGCCATCCTCAGCGGCTACTGGGAGCGCACACAGGGAGAGGTGCGTCGCGATCACGACAGAGCAGGAAGGGAGAGTGCGGTTGGAAATGCGCAGTGAGAAGAGGGAAGAGAAGGTCTGTGCGTGATGTTGGCGTGTCAGCGCACTTGCCCCCTCTCCTTCTTCATCACACACACGCGCGCGCGCACGCACGCACACACACACACTCTCTCTCTCTCTCTAACCCTCACCTGCTTCGATGCACTTGTCTCCTTTGTCTCACGCGTGTGCGCAGCGGTTCATGGAGTACCTTAACCGGCAGTCGGACAACCCGAACCAGATTGCGTTTCTGCAGTTCTTCTCGTACCTCATTGTCCTCTCAAACCTTGTCCCCATCTCCCTCTACGTCAGGTCTGGCCACGTGCTGTCGTTGTGGTGCTTGTTTTGGCTTGGTTTCGTTTTGTTGTTTGTTTGTTTGTGTTGTTTGTGGTTGTGTTTACTCTGCGTGCTTTCACTGTTGCTCGCCCGTTTGATGTGCCTTGTCATTGCACCTCACACACATCACACACACGCACAAATCACACATCACACACAACAGCGTTGAGTTGATCCGACTTGCGCAGAGCCAGCTGATTGGGCTTGACGTGAAGATGTACTTTGAGGAGACAGACACGCCCGCCGTCGCCCGCACGACCACCCTCAACGAGGAGCTCGGCCAGATCGACTACGTCTTCAGCGACAAGGTCGGCTGTGGCTAGTTGCTTTCCTTTGTGCGTGTGCGCGCCCGTGTGTGTGTGTGTGTGTGTGTGTGTGTGTGTGTGTGTGTGTGTGTGTGTGTGTGTGTGTGTGTGTGTGTGTGTGTGTGTGTGTGTGTTTTCAGTTGTCGCTCCATTTTGTGCCACCTCCCTCATGCCCCGTTTTTCTTCCTTCCAACAACCAATCAACCCATTCTGCTGCCATTATCAGACGGGCACGTTGACCCAGAACGTGATGCGCTTCCTGCAATGCTCCATCGCCGGCAACATTTACGGTTCGTTGCCAATTTATCGGTTCCGTGTGCGCACGGTGCTGTGCTCTTCATGCGCGCAACCACACACACGCGCACGCACACACACACACACGCACACTCACTCACTCACTCACACGCGCGCGCGCACGCACACACACACACACGCACACTCACTCACACATTCCTGCTCGCATTCACACTCACATTCACACTCGCATTCACGCCCGTTCGGCTTCCCCTCCCCCCCCCCCTTCTGCCAGGCAAACCTGCTGTTGTTGGGCAGCCGTACACGGGATTTATCGACGACCGCCTGCACCGCGCGCTTGATTCCCGCGATGCCAACGTGGTGGAGTTCTTCGAGCACCTTGCCGTGTGCCAGACGGTGCGGCCGGAGAAGACGGACGATGGCGAGCTCGACTACCAGGCACAGTCCCCAGACGAAAAGGCCCTCGTCGAGGCTTCAAGGTCTGTGTATGTGTGTGTGTGTGTGTGTGTGTGTGTGTGTGTGTGTGTGTGTGTGTGTGTTCCTTCCCTTGCCTCTGTGTGTGTGCGCGCGCGTCTTTGCCTCCTGCGTCTCTCTGCCTGCCTGCCTGCATTCTTCTTTGTTTCATCACAGCTCACGTCACCATACCACCACAATCACCACCCTGCCACCACCACAATCACCATCCTGCAGGGACGTGGGCATCAAGTTTACGCGGCGGACGGGCGAGACGATTGAGCTCGACTTCTTCGGCGAGCGCCGCACGTACGGGCTCCTCAACATCATCGAGTTCACCTCCACCCGCAAGCGCATGACTGTGGTCGTGCGGGACCCGGATGGCGGCATCACGGCGTACAGCAAGGGCGCAGACACGATCATGCAGCCGCTGCTGAGCCAGGCGAGCCAGGAGCGCGACTGGCCGGCGGTGGACGCACACTTGCACGAGTTTGCAAAGGATGGACTGCGCACGCTGGTGCTGGCGAAGCGCAGGCTCTCGTCGGAGTGGTACGAGGACTGGGCAAAACGATACTACGATGCAGACGTGTGCGAGACAGACGACCGCAAGGACAAGGTGTGGTGGCTGCAGCACGCGTGATGGTGGCATGGCGCTGGCACAGTGCTTTGTGGCCGCCTTGCCTGTGCACTTTGCAACGCACCACCAAGCATCACCTTTCATCATCACCCACAGCCTGCTGTATGCCGCATCATTCCTTTGCTTTCTTGTGTTTCTTTCTGTTGCTTGCGCTTGCTTTTGTTCCATTTGTTCCATTTGTCCGTTGTATGTGTCGTACACTCACAACACACCTGCCCCACCGTACGCTCCTTGCCCCCCCCCCTTCCTCCTTCCATTGTGTGCAGCTCGCTGCTGTTGCGCAGGAGCTTGAGACAGAGCTTGAGCTCGTTGGCGCGTCCGCCATTGAGGACAAGCTGCAGGACGGCGTTCCGGAGACAATTGCCAACCTCATGCGTGCCGGCATCAAGGTGTGGGTGCTGACGGGCGACAAACTTGAGACGGCCATCAACATTGGCTTCTCCTGCCGCCTGCTCAAGTCGGAGATGGAGCCGCTGTTTATCATTGACGGGAAGAAGTTTGAGGACGTGGAGCAGCAACTGCGCGCGGCCAAGGACGACATGGCCGCCTCTGGCCGCGAGCACCGCCCCTTTGCCCTCGTCATCACCGGACAGAGGTACTGCTGAGTGGCTCTGCGTGGTTGGGGGTGTTTGTGTGAATGTGTGTGTGTGTGTGTCTGTGTGTGTGTGTGTGTTTGTTGTGTCTGACTCTGTCTATCTGTCTGTCTTTGTGTGTCTGTCTTTGTGTCTGTGTCTGTCTGTCTGTCTTTGTGTGTCTGTCTTTGTCTGTGTGCCTGCACGGTTCTTGGTGCATCGGTGTCCAATCATTTTCACGCCTAATTGCTATAATTCCTCCATCCTCATCCCGACGCCCGTGTTTCAACACCACCGCCACCGCCAGCCTGTCGTTCCCGCTGCCACCAACGATGAAGGAGCGCAAGGAGGAGGTTGTGCGCAACGAAGACGGGACCACGACCCTCAAGTGGACGCCAGAGCGACTGCAGATGCAGCGCGACCTTGAGGCCCTCTTCCTGGACGTGTGCTCGCAGTGCCACGCCGTGCTGTGCTGCCGCGTCTCACCGCTGCAGAAGGCGCAGGTGGTGAAGCTTGTCAAGTCGCGGCGCAAGGCCATCACGCTTGCCATTGGCGACGGCGCCAACGACGTCAGCATGATCAAGGCTGCCCACATTGGCGTTGGCATCAGCGGTCTTGAGGGCAGGCAGGCCGTGCTTGCGTCAGACTACGCCCTGGCGCAGTTTGCATATCTGCAGCGGCTGCTGCTCGTGCACGGGCGGTGGTCGTACCTGCGCATGTCCGTGTTCCTGCGCTGGTTCTTCTACAAGAACTTTGCCTACGCCTGGGCACAGTTTTTCTTCGCCTTCTTCTGCGGCTTCTCCGCCCTGGTCAGAACTCGTGATGATGTGCTTGGTTTTCTGTTGTGCCTTGTGTCTGGTGTGGTGTTGTGTGGTGTTGTGTTGTGTTTTGTTGTGTTGTTTTGTGTTGTTTTTTGTTGTTTTGTTTTGTTGTTTTGTTGTGTTGTTTTGTTGTGTTGTGGTGACTCGACTGCGTGCATCCCAAGTTTCCAGTCTTCCCTGTTGCCAGTACCCATTTGACCTTCATTTGCGTACCTCACCCTTTTGCACGCACGCACACATGCACACACACACACACAACCCGCGTCTTCTTCCTTAGACGATCTACGACGGTGTGTTCATCTCCACGTACAACGTGGTGTTTACGTCGCTGCCCATCCTGGTCATCGGCACGCTGGAGCAGGACGTCTCTGCGCGCGACTCAATTAGCTTCCCGCTGCTGTACGAGGCCGGCCCGCGGAACTTCTACTTCAGCCGCCTCTCCTTCTACTGGAGCTTGCTGCGCGGCATCTTCCACAGCGTTGTCATCTTCTTCGTCGCATATGGCGCCATCACCCTTGGCGGGCAGGTGCGCTGTGCTGTTCGCGATGATGCGGTTGATTGTGGTGGTCGTCATGATCATGACGTGATGGTTCAGGAAAGTCGCGGGTGGGGAGATGTGAGGGTGCATGTCCATCTCACGCGTGATCATTGGTATTGTTTTTGCTCTGGCTGTCTGTGTCTGTCTGTCTATGTCTCTGTGTGTCTGTATGTGTGTGTCTGTCTGTCTGTCTGTCTGTCTGTCTGTCTGTCTGTCTGTCTGTCTGTGCTGGAACGCAATAGGTTGACAGCATCGGGCAGGAGGCCGGCGACTACTCGTTCCTCTCCACGACCATCTCCGTCTGCCTCGTCTGGGTCGTCAACCTGGAGGTATGTGTGTCTGTCTGTCTGTGTCTGTATCTGTGTGTGTGTGTGTGCGTGTGTGTCTGTGTCTGTGTGCCACTTAATTCCATTGCACATCAACGCCTTCTCCTGATACGTCTGCTTATCGTTACTCCCCCCCCCACCCACACACACAGCTTGGCCTGATGAGCCGGTACTGGACATGGCTCAACTTTGTGACGCTGATCATCGGCCCCATCTCCTGGTTCCTCCTCTTCTCCGTCCTCTACACCTGGGATGACTGGATCTTCTACGTGCGTGCAACCCCCTCGCTCGTGTGTTCGTGTGTGTATGTATGTGTGTCTGTGTCTGTGTCTGTGTCTCTGATTGTTTGTTGATCTGTTTGGTGTTGTGCGTGTTTGTCATGCTCTGTATGTGTGTATGCTTGCTGGCACCCTTCGCACCCCTCACACTCCCCACCCCCCAATTCCCTTGTGCACAGTTCCAATCCCCCTTCTTCGGCGTGTTCCTGCACTCGATGGAGGCGAACAAGTTCTGGGCCGTCTTCTTCCTGACCATTGGCGTGACGGGCGTGCTGACCATGGTTGACTTCCTCGCCCGCACCTATTTCTACCCGACGCCCGTCGACATTGTTCGCGAGAAGAACCGCCACTTTGGCAAGGAGATGGTCGTGCAGCCCTTCAGGGAGTGCGAGCGCTCGCAGTCACCGACTCACTTGTCCAGGTGCGTGTGTGTGTGTGTGTGTGTGTGTTTGTGCGTGCGTGTGTGTGTGTGTGTGTGTGTGTGTGTGTGTGTGTGTGTGTGTGTGTGTATGTAAGTGTGCGAGTGAGTATGTATGTGGGTGGGCCTTTTTTTTGTATATTTCTACTATATTTTTAGTTGTCAATCGAGGAGGAGGTCTTTGTGTGTGTATTATTATCTCCTACAACAGACTTACCGATCACAGAGGGTGTGTGACGAGTCCCCCCCCCCCCTCCACAACTACGCCATCATCCAAAGTATAATAAAGCTGTCTAGGAAGAGGGG